TTTTTCGATTTTGAGAAAAAAAACTAACCAGCTTTGCTCCACGAGCACGGCGCAATCCGCGAGCTTTCGTCTAGTACGGAAGCTTTTGTAAACTTTCTGTAATTTGATAGCAGCTTCGTGTTTCGGGTTCCTCGGATCAAGAACCGAGAATTCTTTAGCAATCTCTGCATTGTCTATCTCAAAGCCGTTCTCTTTCGTAGAATCTTCTTTCAAGAGAGACCTTTTAAGAGAGATCATTCTCTCCAGTTGCATCCCTTTGAAGCTAACAGATTTCTCAACAACCATTTTACCAGATCCCATAGATTTCAAAATCGTAGGCTCAAAAGTTCCGTCATTGAAATTGACAGATCTCTTGGGAGTTCTGCACTCGTCGTCATCACCACCGAAGCTTATGGACTTAACCGTGACAGAGTCTAGAGCAGCCTCTACTTCGTCTTGCTCGGCGAACGGGCAGGAGAATGTTACACCCATTCAACAGATCCTAATCGGAACCTGAAGTGAAACATCACGAATCTGTTATGTCTGAATATATGTAAAGATTATATATAGAGAACAAAGGGCATTTTCACAAACACCTTCCATCAATATAAGATTTCAGTCAAAGAACAGAGTTTTAGAGAAACAAAAAAAACAGAACTTTTCGGATCTGAAAAACAGAGCATCCCGGAATTAAATGAGAACCGATGAATAAATTTGTCAAAGAAACACATTTCGTAATATCAAAAGATTGATAAATCTCATTTCGGTGCAACATCAAGAAAAAACTTCAGAAAACTGAAAAAACAAAACATTGAGAAATTGAAAGAAAAAATGAAAAATATAGAGAAGAATCAGTCGTGGTCAAGTTTGAATGAGTACCTCGAATATATACGGTCGGTATTTGATCGTGTTTATTCCTCAAGCAGAAAAAAGCTCTTTGAAGAATCTTGAAACTTTCTATTACTTGTTCTTGAATCTTGATTTGATTCTCTTTGAAATGAAGATTCGAAAGGGTTTTTTTAATTCTTGTTTCAGGGAAAAGTGAAATGTTGATGAAGCTCTAAGAAATCACAATTTACAAACTCTTGGAGCAATGGAGTTTATATATATAATACCGTCAAACTCC